AGTTGTTCTGTAGACGTTTATGTGTTGACCTTTTGACCTCCTGAATTCTGCAATGAGATTTTCGGGTCGATTCAGCCGAGACGGCCCGAGTGGAGTTTCATGTAAATGTTTCGTACGGGAAAAAAAATCGCCAGCCGCTCAAATCTTTCATTTGACCCAATGTCAAAGGTTATATTTGATTTATAATTGCGCCGAATGTAAATTCTACGCCGAATGTAAATGCACCGAATGGTAAAAGAGCCGAACGTAATGGTGAAAGAGCTGAATGTAAATGCGCCGAATGGTGAAAGGGCCGAATGAAAATGCGCCGAATGGTAAAAGAGCCGAACATAATGGTAAAAGGGCCGAATGAAAATGCGCCGAATGGTAAAAGAGCCGAACGTACTAGTAAAAGGGTCGAATGAAAATGCACCGGATGGTAAAAGAACCGAACGTAATTGTAAAAGGGCCGAATGTAAATGCGCCGAATGGTGAAAGAGCCAAGTACTTGCTTGGTCAAGAAGTATCATGAAATTCTGTATTTAAAAAGTAAAGTATTGGTTCTTAGGGCTTGGCAAGGACCAGCCCATGATGAGCCTAGGTTTCAGGCCACTATTTTATTTTTACCTCCGGCATTCTATGCTGGCGCAAAAATCATAGTAGACGGAGATTGCGCCGGCCGCCGGCTTAAAATGACACCCCTGTATGTACGTCTAAATACATACAAATAAAGATAGACGCTAATCAGGAGTACTTCACACGTGTGCCTTTCATGATGGTTAATCGCAACAAATTGTTGTTGTTGACATCTGCCAAACAATCAATCCATTCATCATTCAGTGCACATAGTTTGGCAAAAATGCCGAGAATAAAATTTCTGCAAATACAATGGATAGGCCTACTGTGTAATAATTGGTGGCAACAGGCCGGGTGCCAAAAGGCCGGGTGGCAACGGGCCTACGGCGGCAACAGGACGGATGGCAAAAGGCCTATGGTGACAACGGGCCGGGTGGCAAAAGGCCGGTGGTAACGGACCGGTGGTAACAGACCTAGGTGGCAAAAGGCCAGTTGGCAACAGGCCTAGGGTGTCAAAAGGAAGGGTGGCAACGGGCCTAGGGTTGCAATGGGCCTAGGGTGGCAACGGGCCTAGGGTGGCAACAGGCCGGGTGGCAACATGCCAAGTGGCAATGGCTAGACCCACCAAAATGATTATGAAACCTAAATTTCAACTTTTGTAGTAGGTGTGTACAATCACAAATAACCTTAATTTATATTTGAGATAATTTTTTATTATTATTATATATTATCAGTTTTCATATTTTGAAAAAAAAACTTTTCTAATGAATTAAATTTATATAAAGAAATTAATAATTATTACATCCGCTGGATTAGTTTGATTATTGGTTTATATATTATGGTTTTATGTGGTAAAAAGTGGTCCAACATACCTCGTTATTTGACTACAAACGGCGTTAATTTGTTGTTTTATATATTGTTTGTATAAAAATTATTTAAACACCTAGAAAAATTCCCAACCTTATTTAAATATATTTTTATGGTTTTTGTATATATACAGGTCTATAAATATTTTGAATAAATAACATTTGTCTATTTATCTATCCAAACTTTTGAGTGGCCGAGCAGCAAGGCAGGGACGCCACTAACTACAGCCTTAAAATCACCCAGGTTTTGGTTGGCAGAATCAAGTCTTCTCAGATAAGGACTTAAAATGGAAATCCAATGTAACCATCCGGCTTGTGTGTACTTTAAAGAACCTTTCGGAAAAGTAGGGGATACTATGGTTTCAGCCTCTGTTGTTGTGGAGTGTGTAAACATGAAGTTACCATATGCAGCTTTGAGGCTTTTAGGTAGCAGGCGACGCCCATACATAATTCAACACAATGCTGCAGCTGCGAGTTCTCCTACCTTACCTACGCCATCTTTGCCAAACGGTTGGGCCGTTTCAAACTGACTTGTTCAGTAGAGATGGTGACACCCGTACATGTTGTGTCCACAGCTTGATGTCAAAGGTCATATAGCGGTCATTAGGGTCAAAACCCAAAAAAGTAAATATAGTCTACTTCTGTCACAAACATAGCCTAGTGAAGTCCTTATTACATGTGCATTGGCATGAGGCATGGCCTTATGGTGTTCAGGTATTTTATGGCCAAAGGTCATTAAGGGTCATTCTTCTTTCTGGCAACATTTTAAAACTACTAGTGGCAAACGCCGTTTTAATTCAAACTTGGTCTGTAGAACTGGTGACACCTTTCATAAAAATAGGTACCTAAAAGGTATATAAAAAGAAATACTGGCATGGCGATTTTCATGCCCGTTCCCATGTTACATATCTCATATTCCAGTAGTACAGTAGGCCTATCATAGGTCCAATGTCATAGTAAATTAACACTTTAATACAAAAAAAAAGAAATACTTGTGTATTCATTGTGTTATTTATTCATCTTAACACTGTATACATTGTATTTAAAACCCAAATTTTTTAGTTACACAAAAGGTAATAATATACTCTTAAGAGATATGACGTGGCGCTTTTTTGAGCATTCAGGGTAATTAACAAATATATAATCTGAATCCACGATTTTGTTACAATATAGCAATAAAGGCTTTTACCTTAATTATAAGTCGGTTTATTACAGAAAACATATTTTTTTAAACTTTTTATCACTTGCAAATTGACACCTTATTGAACATTTCAAACATTTTTGCTTACAGTCTGGATGTTTAATTTTGTGAATTAAATTTTCCCAAATAGTTGTCTGTACTGAACACGATGGATCAATCAGCATACAAACTGTAATATTTTTAGCCTATTTCTTGTGTTGAACTTTTTGGTTCCTGAAAGATGTACAACCTTAGCTTTTATGGTTACAAGTTCCCCCCCCCCCAAACCAAGTCGCCCCTTAACCAAGTCGCCCCCAATTGACTAATATTGAATATTATTATTAACTAACCTTTGAAACTTACCCAGAACTTATCTATATAATCTGTATATATATATATATATCTATAATCTGCAGATATTAACTGAACTGTAAAATGTAGTAGTACTAGTAGGCCGTAGGCCTACGCCTAACTATACCTAGATACACTAGATAGGTCGTTTAGCCACCTACCTAGCCCTACCGTAGTTTCATTAGCAATAGTCGTACTATTTAATACCTAGCTACAACATGTTTTTTTTAAAACTTATATGTATAAACATGGCTGCGGAAATACCGTAGTAGAACCAATAACTCCCTCGTAGAACTAGCACTAGCTACCAACAAACCTAAGTAAGTAGGGCTAGTCCCATCTCATGAATAAGCTCTCCTCTCCTTGATGCCATCCTTGAAGTGCTGAATATTCTGAGATTCTCTACAAATCACATTTTGGCCTAAAGTATTAGTTTATAATTAAGCCAGACTGCTACTAGTTCATTATTTATGGTAAACTAGGCTTAGGCGTAGTTTTAGCAACAAGGGCCTGAGCCGACGACATACGAGAAAAATTGTCGCTCCACCGGCAGGCCAATGATAAATCAGCATACTAGGCCTATCTATAAAACGGAAACTTACGAAAAAAGACTCGAAATGAAACGTCAAAACAAATTTTCATTTAGTAAATACTATCTAATAGTAACAAATGGAGATCAGTAGCTCACCAGCTAGGCATTGTCAAATTTAGTGAAATCAAACATAATCTACCTACAAAGAACTTACTCTTGTTTGTCATCGCACATACAAAAAAAAAACCTGGAGGCAGGTACCTAACATAACATAAAACTAAAAGGATCCACTGAGTGTTGAGTAATTTTCGTAACATCGTAACATCCGGCATTTGTAAACTTTAGTATTTTCCCGGATATATTCGGAAGAAATTATTATTAGCGTTGATTGGTAGTCGGCTAGTGATCAAAGGTGTTGACGACTGACTGGTACCGAGATTCACAGTCACTTACCTCAGCAAACCATTCGATGACATAGTAGCTACTTTCAGTAGTCACAAAAATGGGTGTTCACAGCTTGGGGTCAAAGGTCACATAAGGTTAAAACCCCTCATTGTTGTCCTTTGAGCTAAGTCAGTGGATAAAGAAGCATGCTCACCGTGTGTGTGTGTGTGTGTGTGTGTGCGCTGATGGATAGTTAATGTGAAACAAAATTTCACAGGTCAAATTTTCAAAATGATCCAATTGAGCTCAATTTACCATGAATGATCTGACTGGGTTCATGTTCTGTTGAACATAGTTTCTAGTTTGTTTCTGTGTTTGTGTGTTTTAGTAATATAACTTACATTAATGAAATGATGTTCTTCACATTGTGATGGCAGGCCTTTCGAAAAATAATATCTCGTACGTGGAACATCTCAAACACATTTAACTTCTCCTAAAATAAACAAAATTAATGTAATTTATTGAATAAAAAACGAATAATAAAGTAATATGTAACAGAAAAGCAAAATTTTAAAAATACATAAGACTTTTGTAAAATATTTAAAAAATAAATACGAGGCTTAAATACATATATGTGGGGAAAACCCCACAAACATTTAAATAAAACAATGAATTCTTCATGTGATTAATCAATTACTTTAAATGAGACAATTGATTAAAACAACTATTTGTTAACTAATTGTTTTGACATTTACCACAACAATTTAATTTTATTTCTGCAAAGGGACTATGTCAAAAAGTTTGGAACCGTTTAATGAAATTAAGAAAAATATTGAATCTGTTCTAAGTTTATTAGCTCATATCAACAGGCAGTGTATTTTCAAAATAAAGGCAAGTTTGTCTGTTGAAAAACATCTAGTAGTCTTTTTAGAGATAAACGCCTGTGTATTTTAGTGTTAGAGCTAGGACCTCAACTAGTCCTAGTTGGCACTTCAACTTGAGATTCATTCATAAACCAGTCAAAGTTCCAGATCTATAATACAGTAATCTATCAAGTTATAATTCAGCTGAAGGTGGTTGGCAGCCAGTGCTATCAAAGTAACGACTATAAAAAAGACCATACAAGAAGCAGACAGACTGCAAGGTATCCTGTCACACCACCAGTGCCATAGGATAAAAAAATATATGTATCAGTTGCTATAGGGCTATTTGTACTTAAAAATTAGAACAGCCACTAAAAATGCTTTCTTTAAAGCACTGATTATTAATTAAAGTTGAAGTCGTGCAAGGGCGACGGCATCTTCATATATGCAGTAGCGTATCTAGGGGCGCGAATGTGAATTTGGGGCTTGATGATTAGGTGAGGTGCAGCCCTGGTTCGCAAAATAGGGTGATCTAAGGTGATATTTAACTACTTGAGCACACCCCCTAGATACGCCACTGTTTCATAGTATTTTCAGTAAATCAAAAACTGCTATATTATGGCTAGCTAAACATCATTTGAAAGATTAACGTTAATGTAATATTTCATTAAAACATTTATTCTTGGCACTGTGCCATAAGTTACAAGATGATTTTAAAAACAAACGATTTAGTATGACTCTAGCCGACTAAAACATCGACCTGTGTATACGTATTGATTTTAATAAAGGTGGAACTACATTGAAATACGGGTTTTAACGTAAGACAATTTGATAGGCGAACCACATACTATTATGCTATAGAAGCTAAGACTATTATAACAGCAAAAAAAACATTCCACAAACTAGATTACCATTGTATTATGTTTGCATTATGTGGTTTAAGGTATAATAATTCCAAGCTGCAGCTATTCCTAGGTACCACCACCTTACCTGTTTTCCTTTTTTAGAATATAATACATGGAAAGGTTCATAAATAGCAATGATATACACCTATAATCTATGAAGACTGCAAGCAACGAAAATAATTAATTGAGGAGATAGTCCGGGGGCATATGTCCAAAAATAAGCTCCCGTGGGATTTTTGTGATCATTTTAGTTTTTTGGATGAAATATATACTTTGAAGTATGCTGAATCGAATAAAATGAGTCGCCAATTTTTTTTACGCTCATCTTCATATGCAAATTAGCTGGAATATGCAAATTAGGTCTGAAAATGTAGGGTACTTATATTTTGGTAACCACATGTCGTAGAAAGTTGCTTCTTTCTTAAAGTTGTTCAGAACATGCATGTTTCTATTTACCCTAATGGAAGTGCCATTTTGCCGACCTTATTAGCATAAATATGCAAATTAGGTAAGGAAATATAGGGAGCTATCTAGAAAACCACTGGTTGTACAGAGTTGCTTTTTGCAGCAAAATGTTTAAAACATGCATATTTATATTTACTATAATGACAATTTTCTCTAGAAATGACCGGAAATTGCGTTTTTGACCTTTGACCTCAACTTTACATGAATTTATTATCTTGGCAACCACTGGTCGTATAGAGTTACAATACAATGTATAAATGTACAATTTACAATATGCACATTTATACTCTAACAGAATAATTTCTCAATATCAACAAGAAAATTTTATTGATCTTTGAGCTATCTTTGCAGTATATAGGCCTATTATATATGTATATATACCTAATGATGACTTATGGTCAAAAGTATTATTACACCAATTGTATTATTACTTAAATATACATATATAGGCCTATATATATATATATATATGTATGTATATATATATATAGGTATATATATATATATATATATATATAGGC